ACGGACAGGAAACACCACAGGTTGATTACATTTACCCAATCCCAGGCAAAACATCCTCATGAATCCCAACATATGGAAGGAATTTAGTCTTTTTGCATGAAAGTTTAAAGAATTTTAGAAAATCATCGCTTCATGCTGCCTGGTGTCACACAGGAAACACTCTTGCCTTCAAGAAAAATGGACAAAGGTAAACGGAAACTGGGAAACGAGTCGTATTTGATTTAGTTTGTGTTGGTTTAGAGAAATCCTGCAAATGTTCCTCAAACAGCTGAACAAAGACGACGATCGTAAAACTTTTATTCAGTTTGAAATTTAATCATTGGAAACTTTTCATCAGTTGGACTTCACAAGACTGACCTGTTGTACTTTCTCCAGTTTTCCTTTCATTTCTACATGATTATGGGATGTTTAACGAGCTTGATGAACAATTAAACCATCACATGATCCGTTAACTTTTATTAAAGAGCATCGGGCGCATCTGCATGGAGGCGCAGAGCCGAGTTTGTACGTTTAGTAAAACAAAAGCAGATTAAGATTCATTTTTCTGGGAAACAGTTCTGAACGGCCAAACATTCCAGGATTTTCCCATTTTGTTGCTTCAGCAGCAGCTTCTCAGCGACAATAACGCCAACAAGGTGTCAGCAAACTGGCCCGATTCGGTAGTTTTCATAGAAATATCCAAATTCTTCTCATTTTAAATCCCCGTTACAGAATCGGGTAGCAGCTGAAAACCGCAACGAGGACGAGACCGGGCCGACGAAAGCCATAAAAGCCCATCCGTCACTTTTAAATCCAGATGTTCCTGTCGGAAGTTACCTGTGTGTGTGTGTGTGTGTGTGTGTGTGTGTGTGTGTGTGTGTGTGTGTGTGTGGTAACAATGAGCTCTAAAAACAATGAGACATAAACCCTCAAAGAGAGCTGACGGTGTTATCGGATACTTTTACAGTCGTGTTTAAAAAGAAGGAACATTTATTTGGCACCATTTCAACAGAAGGTCAAAGGTCAAAGTGTAAGTGTCATGGCATCAGAGCATATTGGTCCAAAAAGTTAGTAAAAACCTACAAAATGACCAAAGATCGAGATGCAAGACTAAACGATCGGGGAGAGTCCGCTTACGAGATCGTTCACCTGATGTTCACACCTGATGTTCACACCTGATCTTCACACCTGATCTTCACACCTGATCTTCACACCTGATCTTCACACCTGATCTTCACACCTGATGTTCACACCTGATGTTCACACCTGATGTTCACACCTGATCTTCACACCTGATCTTCACACCTGATCTTCACACCTGATCTTCACACCTGGAAAATGACCTCCAACAAAACCATGAAGACAAACCGGACCCTTCAATGAGAAGATGCTGATCGATGCATTTAAGGGTCATCAAGACTCAGTCGATAAACACAACCATCCATTAAATCATTTTACAAAATAAAAGCGCTCAACCCTTAGAAGGAATGAGAATTATTTCATGCTGCATCAGAGAAAGATGGATTCTTTATTGTTGGTTTGGGTAAAAATATTTTTATTGTTGGAAACTGGACAAATTTTCTGTTTTTATTGATTCATCCTGGTTCCAATCAGCTGCAGGTTAACATGAGCGTAGCGTCTCATAATTCATCTAAATAAATGTGTTTGTCTACAAAACAAGACTGATCTTTCCTCCGATGAGCATCGAGCCCCGTGACCTTCAGTGGAAACCAGGAAACGAGCTCCCACTGAAGACATTTTGTTTTTCTGGGGAAACGTGTCCCGTCTCCGGTCAACTAGAGCTCAAATATTCTCTAACTTCAGAGTTTTAGTTGTTATAAAACATCCATTCAAGTCCAGCTTCCTTTTATCCTGCAGCCCCTGAATGCACTACTGAACCCATAGGTGGAGACCTTCAGGATCAAGTTGAAAAACTCTGTTATTTAAAATAACCCTTTCCTGAAGGTTTACCACCAAATTTTCTCCTTTAAATCAAAATTTTATCAGAATTTTTCTAAATGTTGCCCTTTGTTGTTTGCAGAACCGGTTCTGATGGATCTGGTCTGAATCCTGAACGTTTCACATCTCATTCATCTGAGTTGAGCTTCTTCTTTAGTTTTACTAAATTAGGTACAATTTTTTATTCGTTTGATGTGACCCGGACGTTTCCATGAACGCTGTAGCGCAATTTACTTGTTTTATTATTCAGGACATTTGTGTTTTTCAGCGTTCAGAAGAACTGAAGGTAAAACCAGTAAACGTGATGTTCTCTTGCATCACATAGATTAGATTTTGTCACGAGGAGAAAAAACATCTGAAGATGCTGAGATTTTCCTTTTTTACAAAACTATTTCAAACCAAAGTAGATCCTAAACCTTTTGTCGTGCATCAGAAGAACGGCTCTGCTCATCCTGAATTAAACTAATGTATGAAAAACAAAAACTGCAATCACAAAATTTGACAGATTTTTTTTAAAAGAAATTTAAATGTAGATTTTTTTTCTAAAATTAAAATTTCAAAACGTGTTAAAATCCAACAAACCACGGACTTGAGATTTTTTTAATTAAATAACAAAACTGATCATAATTGGACATGAAAAATACTCCAAAGACTAAAATAAAAAACTATTTATGAAATGAAATATTTAAAAACTTCTGTGATTTTCAGGTTTTCTGCTGCTTTCAGGTTTCACTTCAGCCCAAATATTTATTTATTTGATTTTTTTGTGAACATGTTAAAATTTAAACCTGAAATCCCGGGAGAGTTTTGTGTTTTCATCTCTGCAACGCGAGACATGCACTTCTCACATGAAACCAGGAGAAGTTGTTTCGTTCTGGAGCTTTTTGTCGCCGTGGTGACGGAGCTGCCACGCTGATGTCTCTGAAAACGTGATCTCCAAACGCATCGTAAACCTCCGCTGCTTGAACAAAAGAGCGTTCCTGCAGGTTTCACTGAGCACGAGAACATTTGTGGCCCGAAGCACAAAAACCTGAATGTTGAATGAACAGGAAAGTGATTTCTGGTTGGGAGGAAACATTCTGGAGGACCTACTGGGTTTGGAGAGGTCATAAATCCACTTACGGACACACAAGGACACTTAGCATGAGAAATTTCACTTAAGAATCGTTTATCTTCTCATGAAACCTTCAGTTTTTATCCTGGAGAAGTGAGGAATGAACCGGAGCGTTCCTCCTGCAGCGTTATTACAGGAACACTGCAGGGACTCCGATGATCAGGCAGCTGGAAACTCGGGATGATGGTCCTCACATCTGGAGGACCACACACCCCTCTACACACACACACACACACTCCAACTCGTCATGAGGTCAGCTTCTAACAGCTTTTCCTGGTTCTGAATCTCGGAGGACCAAACCTTCCAAATGGGACATTTTTTCCCCTTTGCAGTAAAAGTCTCTTGAACGTGCTTTTATTTTGAAATCTTCATGCAGAAAGACAAAAAACCTCTTCTTCCATAGTAACACCGCCACATTAAAACCCCACACGATAACCTGCGAACTCTGCCACCTCCTATTGGACGGCCCAGACACCAGCGGGCCAATCAGGAGTCGGAACACGGCTGTTAGCGCTCTGCTGTCAGGCGCAGAAACGGAAAACTCGGATGTTCCTGGGAGTATAGCAGAGGTCGAAGGTCACGCGTGGATCTGAATCACCTCCAACGCCTCTGTACAAATTTTTGACCCAAAACTCAAATATTTGGGGGGTTCTGATGTTTTTGCGGTTGTGGTTCCATCAAACTGCCGGAATTTGGTTCTAAACTCTGATTTAAACCAACAAACCAAACCGAAGTCCATAGAAGGCCGATTTACTACGGAATACTGCTGCGTAACTTCCTACTGAACCTGTTCTACCAACGATCCTCAGATTTGAACATCTGATCGACTGAAACCAAAAAATATTTGGCGCCACGCTTCAAAGAACATTTGACTCAGATCGTTGTAAAAAGTGTTTTTTAAAGGCCAAAGTAGTAATGATGAAAAATGCTCCAGATGTGATTCCAGCTGTTCCTGACAAATTTAGGAGGATTTAGGATTCCCGGCGGGACCAAACAACACCACACCTTCAGCTTGGCGACGCCGTGAGACGCCGATCGTCCTCAGCTCCCCGACAAACCACAGAAAAAATATCAATTCATTCAAAAATATCTCAAACGCCATCAACGACCATCTTCACAGTTCTCCCCACGAGTCCAGTTAACCTTTAAAACTATGAGTCCAGAAGGAGGTTTTCTAACCTTCTGCCCGGCCGTCCAGAACCAGCTGCTCAGTTAGAGCCAGAAAATTTAAACACTCACCAGGTTTTTAAGGAGTAAAAAAATCACTTTATCCTACAAACAACTGACCCAAAAAGCATTTTTGATTTTTTTAAAAGCCTAAATGATTCCAAAGTTTTAATTGTTGCTTCATTTTATGACTTTTTTCAAACAAAAATGTTAAAAGAATATTTAAATTTACCCAAAATGCGTTCTGATTATTTAAGGAAACTGAGGATTTCTGGAGGACAAGGATGCCTTCTGACCTTTTATTCCTGGATCCAGATCAGTTGATCTTAACTGGAGGATAATCTCCTCGCTGCCTCTCAAAAGTCCAGAAGGAAGAACAAAAGATCCAAACTCGTTTTACACGAAGACACCAGAACTGGATGAACTTGGTGGTTCTGCTGCAGACCAACTCAGATTTGGGGAATTGGAGCTAAAACTGAGATGGTTGATGGTTCTCGGCCTGATCTGGGTTTCATCTGCAGCGCTGAGGTCAACCCTCACCGGGAAATCTGTCTCCATACCGGGACCGTTTCCGGTGCTTGAGGAAAACTCTGCCCTGATGGACCCAAACTGGTTTCCAAGTAAAGCTGCGGGGTCCGAACGCTCCTTAACGCAGCATCCCGCAAGTTTCCAGACTGAAGTTAGAGTCGCGCTTCCTCACCTTCGCATCCATAACTAAACCTCTCGGTTCGGTCTAAAAACCGGGAAACCCGGGAATGCGGCATCCCGGTTCGGGTCTTACCTGGGGTTGGAGCTGTTCCAGTAGACCGCGTACCGGTCGGAGATTAGGCGGTCGTCTGTGACGGCGGCGCAGAGCCGCAGCAGCAGCCCGAGCAGCAGCAGCGGCGGCGGCGGCCGCCCGGTGCGCTCCATGTGCGGCGGCGCGGCGCGCTGCATCCCGGAGAACATCCGCGTCTCTTCTCCTCCGCTGTGAGCGCGTTCTGACCCGCAGGGGGGAACCAGAACGGACTCTACTGCTTCTTCAGTCCCTTTAGATCCACAGAGATCAGTGCTGGCCGCTCCGCATCCCGCCGCTCACGCGCTTAACTGATTATTTCCAGCAGGTGAGAATAATCCATCATCATCATCAGCGCGCGACTGCAGGGACTTAACGCGCTTCACGGAGACCGGGTCCACTTCAGAGGGGAGAAATTCTTCCGAGCCCGCGTCCAGGATGACAACCTGCTCCAAAGTTTCATTTTGGGTCGGTCAGAACCAGAGCAGGACCGCGTGCGCGCCTCGGTCCGCCCGTGCGTCCATGTGCGTCCTGGCTTGTGCTCAGAGTGGCCCGGGTCAGACCCAGAGCTCATTCAGGATTTATGGCTCCTTCTCCTGCTTACGTAACCTACGGCTCCCGGAGCTCCAGACTCACCCCCACCGCGCTCCGGTCCTCCCCCCGTTAAGTTCTCGGTCCCGGTGTCTCCGGTCCGGGCCGCCTAAAAGTTTCTGAGTTCCGCTTCTGCAGGCCGGACCGAGCCGAGCGGACCGGGTCGGACCTGGAAAGAGTCTGGAACAAAGGAAAGTTGAATCGTAGCTGCGAGAGGAGCGTTTGTGTTACCGGCAGAGCTCCAAACTGCTGGTCCCGGTGCGTCCCGGTGGGCGGAGCTAACACACACACACACACACACACACACACACACACACACACACACACACACACACACACACACACACACACACACACACACACACACACACACACACACACACACACACACACACGACGTGTAACAACTGGACCAGGGGCGCTTTTGGGTCCTGAAACTCTGGGGGCCAAGCCAAAAGTGTTTGTTTGTTTGTTTGTTTGTTTGTTAATCTTCTGCTGACACAAACTGACCTCCATACATTTTCAGATTAGTATTTTAATGTTTATTTTATTTTCGTGTTTTTCTGTTTGCTTCACAGAAAACAGAACGACTGTTTATTTTCTACATTGTGTTTTTAATGCCCTCTAGTGGCCAAAGGTGGTAAACATTCAGCAGCAGTCCCACTTTCTTTCATCTCTAGTTTGTTTTTATAGGTCAGGAGGTGTTTAGTGTTCGTCTGAATCACATGATGACTTTATTAGTTTTTTTTCCTGTTTTGCTTCATATTAACAAAGAAAACAGCAAATGAACCTAAATGCATTGCTGCAAACACTCTGCTGATTGGTCAGATGTGTCTGAGAGGCAGGTTACCAGAAGGATATATGTTCTGACCCTGAGCTGATCCTCAACAAGGAGAACATCTTCCTACAGATACCATCATCCACATGAGGCCTTGGTTCAGCTCATATCCCAGAATGCATCGCAGACTCGGCGACGGGACAAACAAAACAGGAGAAATGTGCATGATGTTTAAATTGACTAATTAGTTGTGGTGTGAACATAATTGATGGACATTTATGTTACAGGGATGGCTGTAAATTCTCTGACACAACAAGTTAGACTCGGTGCAATCTGCTGGGTTTCCTTAGGAAATGTTCAACTGGAATAATCACCTGAACTCAGACCAGATTGCTGGGTTTCACATGACGTTGCATCTACGCCACCAAATGCAGATGGGGGTCCGGAAGTAGGCGGCGCTGCACAAAACACTATTTACGTCGGTGACTGGGCGTTAAAATGCGGTCTACGGTTATTACAATCACTCTAATCGGAACAAAGACAAACGTTTTTTTCAACTCCCGAATGTATCGTGCCACAAAGGACTTAATTTAAAAAACATACTGAAGGAAAACGGCAAAAGTGGACCAGTAATCTACACTTTCCAAGCGTTTGTTTCCGACGCATTGGCAACACGTTGCGCAAGAGCGTTGATTTCTGATGCCCGCAGTAAAACGCACATTTCAACGGCATTTAACGTCTAACCTCTTGCTGATTAACCTTCCCCTCACACCCATCCTAACCTTCACCCTGTTGCTCTTTCTAAACTTCCTGTTAACCGTGTTGGAGAGGGACGGAACAACTAGGAACAAAGCTTTGACAGTGCAAGAGGGTTGAGGCTAGGATGGGGGAGAGGGGAAGGTTAAATAGCACAACACATTCTCACTCCCAGCGCGTCAGAAACAAACGCTTGGTCAGCCACCCTCCGCGTCAGACCCCTGACGCCAAAAGTGCCCTTTTTCATCACTTATGTACGAAAAAGGGGGATTCTCCTTTCTGACTGCAGATCCCAATGCAGCGTTACACTGACGTGATGGGATATCTGCTGATGCGGCACCGAACCTGCTCACTGAACTGCACCTAAACCTTAACGTTTCACTATTTATAACCTTCCCCTCACCCTCATCCTAACCTTAACCCTCTTGCTAGCTAAAACGTTACTCTCACTGTGATCAAGCGTTTGCTTCCCATGCATTCTGACTGTGAATTTTCGTATTTGCCGCCCAAGGGGAACGTTAGAACATACCATCTGGCGAGAGGGAGGTTACACATACCCTCTACTTTTAACCTCCACCGTGGTAGTTGAAACCTCCCCCCTCGCGTTGGCTCGGTCCAAACCCGACCAATGACGAGGCGGCTCCCGCCGTTCACTTCATAGAGCCGGCTTTTAGAGCGACCGACACATCACTAACGTGTTCACTAGCAAGATGGTTAAGGTTAGGATAAGGGTGAGGGGAAGGTTAAATAACAAGAGGATAAGGTTAGGGTGAGGTACAATGAGCTGGTTTGGTGCCCTGGCTGTCGGATATCCCATCGCGTCAGTGTAACGCTGCATTGGGATCTGCAGTCAGAAAAGGGAAAAAAAAACTTTTTCGCACATAAGTAACGAAAAAGGGCAGTTTTGGCGTCCGGGGTCTGACGCGGAGGGTGGCTGACCAAGCGTTTGTTTTTGACGTGCTGGGAGTGAGAATGTGTTGAATAGCAAGGGGGTAAAGGTCTGAATTTGGTGAAATCTCTGTTTTACCTTGGCAGTCGGAAAACGACACCCTGGCACAGCACGTTGGCTCCCGACGCGTTGGAAACAAACACTTGGTCACCCAGCATCATTTTCCGAGGCTTACGGTGTGAGAATGTGTTGGCTTAAAACAGGAGCTGAAACGGAGTTTACAGCCATCACTTTCAAACGGGTAAGAGATTACTGAGTGTTTTATTAAACAGGTGCTTAGAAACAGCCATAAAACGACAAGTTAACAGTTTTATACTGTTTTCACGTGTCCACATCGCAAATAGCTTTGAGAGTGCTAATGTTTTTAGCAGTTAGCTTAGTTTTGTAACATTTATACCTTACTGAAATCAAACAAACGTTCCAGAAATGTGGGTTTAAAAAAGTGTAAAAAGTTAGTTACAAGTAGATCCTAGCACATACTGGTCGTTAGCATTAGCGATAGCATTATTATCATGAGTTAATGAAAAATAGCACAACTCTTTACTTACCCGAGCAAAAACAAGACGATCACCATTTAAAGCTTCTCCAGGTCGCTAAAAGGTTAACCAACCTGAAATAAAACAGCTGTAGGCTTCCAGGATTGTAGAAGGCTTTTGTTTGGTTAGCAGTCTGATACGAGGAAGGCAACACAAGATAGTTGTTGCTGATTGCTTCAGCGATGGGTAAATCCTCCACAGTGTAGGAAAAGTGCGACTTTTAAACTAAATAACCTAAAAGAAGACGTATCGATCCAAACTTTCAAATTGCTACTGAATTGTATCGGCCAGAGGCTGAGTTCCTTTGAACAGCGTGTGTGAAGACGTATTAAAACCTCAGGTGAAAAAGGTTTTTGGATTTTCATGGCTGGAATTGTAAGAAAATCTGATGTTTCGTGACCGGTGTGGTAAAAACAGAAACTAACCTCCGGTATAGGCCCTGGACTGCTGGTGATGTTCCACAAGGAGCTCCGCTGAAACAGCTGTAGTAAACAACCCCGACTTCGGTGTTTCTGCGTTAGCGTTGTAGCAGAACAACGTGTCATCAGTCAGATGTAGCTTCTGAAGCCTCTGCTAGTCGGTCAGATATGTTTTTTCTCTGGGATACGGCGACGAACGGATATCGGATTACCGGAGGAGTTCAATCGAACTCCGACCCCGCCAGCTGGATATCACTACCAGAGGTGCAGACATGTTTTAGACCGTTTGACTCAGAAGACCCGATTGAAACATCGAGGAAGGTTCTGTTTGTCTTCAGAACCAAAATCGGTTCAGTTTGTTTACTTTTGATAAATATTTCATTTCTTTACTCCACCAGCAGCTCTAAGCTGGTCTAGCTCCACCATGTGTCCCAATATAATTCAATAATCTACAGATAAATAAAAGAGTGTGCTGCCAGTTTTACCGCTGTGTGTGTTTGTTGATATAACTCTGGATCATATTTCACCGATAGCTTACCAGAATAAATCTTCCTGATGCTGGAGTAACTCGCTAGCTCGGCTCATTGTTTGCTCTAATCCAGGATGGCACGGAGGTTCTACCGGATCCAGGAGGATCTACTGTTGAAATATAGAGATCATTTTTAGATTTTGTGTGTGTGTGTGTGTGTGTCTCATAGCTTTCCCAAATGACTTGTTTTTTCCTTACCTGAGCTAACACGGTTAGCGGTGTAGCTGCAGTCATGCTAACGGGACTCTGGAGTCCAGAAGTAGCGTTGCGGTTCCAGATGGATTTATAGATGTTGGCTAATATTTTAGATGAGACCTAAGTTACTTAAAAACGTGTAGGACATGGACATGTGGCTCAGGGGTCTCATTTAGCAAACATGGTGTAGAATCCTTACTAAAACCGTACTTAAGCTCAGCAAAATAATGTACTTACGCCAAGTAGGTTTGTGATCTATCAAACATGGAGGACGCACAGCTGCACGCAATCTCCGCTTCATAAATCAGAGACTAATGAGAATGTTTCTCAGCTGCTTTTTAGTCACATCCCACCCTCACCACGCCCACTTACTGCCATATATGGTCAGTGCAAAGTGCCTTGTGGATCTCATGCATGTCCATAAGTGATATGTGATAATGCTGCAGGATTTCATAATTGTATCTTCTCAGCAGCACTGCAGGTGATCTCCATGTCCAACATGTGCGTAAGCCAGGTCCTTAGTCAGCTTAAAGTTACGCACATTTTTCCACTAAGTTTTCTTTCATAAATCCCAAAGTTTGTGTGGAAAGTTGCTTACGCAGTTTTCTGACCACGTTTTGTGCGTAAGCTAGCTTGATAAATGAGGCCCCTGGTCTTTTGTTTATTACGTAAACACAATTTTCCATATTAATTAAGAGCACGAAAGTAAACAAAATACAGTTATTCACAATACTAGCAACAGCAGCGGCCTTGTATTACGTGTTAGATGACGTATACGGAACTGATTTGGATTTTCTGTAATGATTAATGACTAAATGGAAACCTGAACCCAGTTCATGTTTATATAGATGGTAAAGTGTAGTTACACTACATTTCTAAAATTTTAATGCTGAGTCTGGCCAATACCTTTAAAACTCATTTTTTAATGTTGTTATTTCTGCCCTTACTTTTTAACCTGCTTCTATTCATTTTAGGTGTTGCTCAGTTGTTGCTTTTATCTCTAATTGATTTGTTTGCATTGTTTTTAAACTGTGGTACTTATGTTTATTTTTTATGTTCAGCGACCTTGAGAGTCTTGAAAGGAGCTTACAAATACATTTTTTTTGTGATATCGCGTCTGTACCAGCTCATTTAAAGCCTTAGGAAAAAGGCTTCCATCCATCGTGCTGTGTTGCGTCTCAGTGTTTTGTTGCAGAGCAAAACACTTCCTGTCGCACGTTTGA